TTTATGAATTTCTGCCCACATTGATCAATCTGTTTACTGTTGCAGAAGGAATTATGGATGATGTGCAAAACAATTGTGATGATATTATGGTTGAATCTGACAATGCAAACGCAAACAAAATGGAAGGTGAAATGTTAGGGGAGGATGGTGTGATAATGCCCGAGGTGGGTATAGTGTTCAAAGATGAGATGGAGATGTTTGAGCTCTACAAAAAGTATGCCTATGCAATAGGCTTTCCTGTGAAGAAAAGAAATTCCAAAAAGGGAGACGACGGAGTCGTGAGGTATGTCACATTGACATGTAGCCGTGAAGGCCAAAGAGGCGTTAGTACCGGCCGTCCATTGAAGCCTCAGCCAACAATTCGTATAGGTTGTAAAGCCAGGATCTCTGCATCTTCAGATATCCTTGGAACCTGGAGAATTAACATGGTCCACCTTGACCATAATCATGAAACAAGCCCATCAAAGTCAAGATTATATCAAAGCAATCAGGAACTGAGTGTGCATGTCAAACCGAGGCTTGAAGTGAATGATATGACAGGAATTCCATTACACAAAAGTTACAACTCTGCAGTTGTAGAAGCAGACGGATATGAGAACATAACGTGCATTGAGAAAGACTGTTGGAACTATATAGAACAAGTGAGGCGACTAAAGCTTGCGGAAGGAGATGTCGCGGCAATACAATCATACTTCTCAAAAATACAAGCTCAACGCTCGGGTTTTTACTTTATTATGGATGTGGACGACGAGTCACGATTGAAAAATGTTTCCTGGTAGACAATCGTTGTAGACAATCATATAAAAAGTTCGACGATGTCGTTACATTCGATACTATTTATTTGACTAATAAGTATGAAATGTCTTTCGCTTCGTTTGTTGGTGTCAATCATCATGGGCAGTCAATATTACTTGGTAGTGGTTTGCTGTCGAATGAAGATACAAATACTTTCATTTGGTTGTTTCAAACATAGCTTCAGTGCATGTAAGGTCAAGCTCCACAAGGGATAATTATGGATCAAGATCGAGCCATGCAAAATGCAATTCAAATTGTTTTTAGTACGAAGTATAGATGGTGCTTGTGGCACATTCTAAAGAAGTTGCCAAAGAAGTTTGGCTACCACGTGGAGAAGGCTTCAATATTTGGGGCTATACATAAATTGGTGTATAAATCACAGTTTGTTCAAGAAGGTGAAAGTGGTTGGAGATTAATGATTGACACGTATTGCTTATAGGATAATGATTGGTTATCGGGATTGTATGAGAACAGAGTTTGTTGGGTTCCGTGCTATTTCAAAACTTCTTTTTGGGCTGGGATGTTGACGACATAAAGAAGTGAGAGTATGAATGTGTTTTTTGATGGATATGTGCATTTTAAGACATCTCTCAAGCAATTTGTGGAACAGTATGAGCGTGCACTGAGAAGTAAGGTTGAGAAGGAGTTTCAGGCCGATTTCAGGTCGTTTTCGTAAATGGTACCTTGTGCAACGCAATTTGAAATGGAACAACAGTTTCAATCAGTTTACACCATCTCCAAGTTTAGGAAGGCCCAAGACGAGTTTACATGAAAGTTTATTGTGATATTATATCTACATTTGATGAAGGTCTGGTGAGCACATATGAGGTAGAGGAAGTCCGTATGACTGATGGCCGTCGACGGAAAAAAAATTCCTGGTGTCATTTGAGAGAGAGAAATGCGAAATCATTTACAGCTGTCACTTGTTTGAATTCCGTGGAATAGTGTGTAGCCATGCACTAGCAATTCTGAGCCGTAATGATGTGACCTCGATGCCAGAGAAATACATACTAGGTAGATGGAGGAAAGATGTTACTAGAGCTCACACGAGAGTTCGAGTAAACTATGAGGGTCTAGTTACTACTCCTTCACAGTTGAGATACGATGCTATGTGTCAAGCTTTTGCACAAGTGGCAGACCTTTCTGCAAATGATGAACTGTGGTCAGAAGCTATAATGGATTGGATTAAAAAGGAAGGTAGTCTCCTTATGAGCGCAAAGTCCAATCATAAAATTAACATATGTTCACATCATGCTTCTGAAGTCCCCAATAATTGTATTAGTTCGCAAAATATGTCGAGCAGGAGCACACTGGATCCGAAGTCGGTACGCAGAAAGGGCGTCCCAAAGAAACTCCGACGCAAGAGCCCGTTGGAGTCCACTTCTAAGAAATCGAAGGTATTTTTAGTGATTTGCATTACTCCATATTGGATTTGAAGTACATTTAGTATTAATCATTTCGATGCATATGTAGAACGCTTCGACATCAACATTAGGGAAGAAATTGAGGCAGAGTAACGCGATCAACCAGACTTAGCCACAACAACCCATGTCATCACCGTTCCCTTGTCACAATTTTCCACCAACACACCATCATCAAATGGGTAAATTAGCTTATGCAGTATGTGAGGTAGGATGTCAAAAAGTGAATTTCTACACATCAAAAATAATAAATGAATTTCTACATTTTATTGCATGATTGTATTCTGTTTTGTGCTTAAGAATGGACATCTACTTTACTTCACTGTCAGGAAGATTTGTTTTGAGCTTTTGGATTTAAAAGATGCGGTCTAGAACTTGTGTAGTAATACACTCACAAAATATTCTGCTTTTTTGAGGTAAGATTAATGAATTGATAAACAACAAAAATTTAGTGGGACGTAGTACTCTCTTTACTCATATTTTGTGTGTGCATTTTTTTCTCCTTGTGTACTTCTTCTTTATCCATTTAAATACAATAATAGTCACAATTTTCTTGGTATAGGAAAGTTAACAGATATAAGCTCAGCTAGATATATGATTTACCATTGCTAGAATTAATTCTTCATAGTATGCAAGTAATTACATATGTATGCACTACAAAATTGCAATAAAGAAAGTATTAGTCTACTTTGTCTATGGAATTAGGCTACTTCTTATTTTTATCTTGATTTAGTAATAGCTCTCAGATGAAAAAATATTCTTATCACGTATGTTAACTGTGCTTAGTAGCTTCATTGTAGGACATGCCATATATAACTCCAATAACTTCAGATGGTATTTATTTGAAGAAGATTAGTTGCAGCCAGGTATAGAAATGAAAATTGACAAAATATTCCAACTTTGTACTTACAATAATTTGAAGAAGATTACTTGGATCCCGGGTTTCTTTCAGAAGACATATTATAAGAGCTTCCTCTCTTGTGCTAGTAATTCACAAGTCTATCTGGGTAGTAAAAGGATATATATTCGTGACCATATTTGTACTAGTGTGGGCTTGAAAGTATGTAAGCTTATAGCATTAGAAATGACTTATTTGCCCTTTTTTTTTCCTTGTTTGGTTGTTTTCACTTCGTGTTTATTTTGCTGAGCCTTTAAAAGATTGTTTTTCTACATAACACTATGATTATCTCACGTGTTGAATGTCAAGGTTTCCATGAATTAGTCTTAGCATTTTTTGTAATCTCATTACCTCCTTCACAGATTTCAACTTGAATATCCAAGTTGATATAAGCAATGTGTGATTTTGCAAGCCGAATATAGCACTATGTAGTATGATATCTATACAGTTCAAAACTTCCAATAACAAGTTTTATATTTTTTGATTGAATAACTTTACAAAGTATGCTGCTAATGGTTCAATTGGTTTTGCAGTCTAGAGGTTCAACTAGAGATGGGACTGGAGTACATGGTAGCATTGTTAATCAACTCGTTACAAAGGTGTATTAATGATGATTACTTGTTCTGTACATAGTAAACTAGGAGGACCAACGAGTCAATGCAAGTCCTTCGCACTGCAGTAATGGCACTTCCTAGCAGATCGTCTGATGGATCTCCGTTAGAGTCCTGCCATTGGGCAGATGGTATCCCATTAATGTAGCTTACCATTAGTTCAATAGCAGGATGTGTTTTGGGAGATGGAAAATGAGAAGACAGGTTGACTACCTTATTTTTGGATGTAATAAATGTCTAGTTGATTTTTTATTTTTTTTTGGAAGACAGGTTCCATATTTTTTTGGAAGTATTATATGTCTAGCTGATTTTTTTTTTTTTAAGACGGGTTCTATATTTTCTTGGAAGTATTATATGTCTAGTTGATTTTTTTTTTGAAAACAGGTTCTATATTTTTTTAGTTCAATTAACACGATAAAATGTCTAAACATGGTATAGTTCATTTACACAAGATATTGGATGTAATATGTCTACAAAAACCACACATATGCTGAACTTCCATGCACAATGTGTCGTTAACATTCGTTCAACCATAAATGTTCAAAATACAACACGACGACAGTTCCAATACATAAACACAGGGCCGATTTACATAATTAAGGTTTGTCAAATAACTAACGTGAACAAAATATTCGATCAACATCTACTAATCAAGTTGGCCGCTTTCCTTTTGCATTCACCACCGCACTTACTTTCTCCATTCGAATTGTGATGTCCACCGAAATCTTGAGTTCTTCTTCGTCAGTCAGATGGACTCGAGATTCAAACATGCGGGACATTTCATCTCCTATTTCGTTCTCCTGGCAGCAATGGCAAGGCAGACAACGGTCATATTTGAGCTTGAAATCTTGGACCCTCCCAGGTAGGCTCATATTTTGTGTATTCGCACTTGATCTTCATGAATAAACATGTCTTCACATAAAATAAAAATAAAAATAAAAAAAAAGAAAAAAGAAAAAAAGAAGCAAATTTCTCAAATAAAATTGTAGTTTGAATCACTTGCAGAGTTGATTTAAAATTAATTGTAATATAATATACCACATTGTTTTAAAGTTTTTTCTCCCAATCTTCATTACGAACGAAAATTAATTAAGCGCCAGTTTGATAGGGATTTATATAATATTTTTAATAAATTTTAATAAAAGTTGATAAAATTTATATTAAAGCAATTGCAAATCATGAAATATGTGGTTAAAACAATTTTTACATTTTTGCCGTTGGAGAATTAGTGAATTACTCCAACCTTGTAGCAGTCGAAATCACACATACGTGGAATTAATAATGGTCACTTGTCGCCTACGTTTAATTCTCTCCTGTTCTTTTTCAACAAAACAAACCGATTAATATCTCAAAACCCACACACGCAAATGGGCAAAATCCCAGTGAGTACCAGAATCTAGTACTGAATCAGTTGCTATAATTCCTTTCTTTCTCCATAGGTGGAGGGAGGGAGGGAGTGAGAGAGAGAGAGAGTGTGAGTTGAAATTTTCAAGAAATGCAGACCATTCCAATAGGAGGGACATTAATTTCAACAATAGCGAATAGCAGTAGCCTCTCTCTCAATTTCAATAATCCGAAACCATGTCCCAAGATTTCCCCTCACCCCAGATCAGGTATCAAGAGCCCTTTTCTATTAAATTATTTGATTCAAGGACGAGAACTGGGTTGTTTTATTTTGTGTTTATGTTTTATACTTGTGTATGAATTTAATATTAGGGTTTCTTTCGAACTGTGAATTCAGATAATCTTTTAGGTTTCTTGCTTGCATTGGTTGTGGTAATTTTAATTAACTCAATCTCGTCTCTGTCTTCTTTCGTGAGTAATATGCGTGTATTAATTTGATCTACTCTTGTGTGCAATTCTTGTTACAAGAAGAAAACACATTTAAATGGAAGTGACACCTTAATCTTTGTGATGTCTTTGAAATTGTGATTTGAAAACTAAGAATTAGTGTAGTGTAGAAAATTGGAGGCGAAGTTAGAGTTCATAGAAACTTGATCTTTTGGTAGTTGAAGGGCAATATTTTGCAAGCATATGGCCAGTCAAATGGGAGAGAGAAAATAAATACGATCCAACTCATTTACTCTGCGTGAGAATGAGAGACATTTCAAGTAAACATGGCTGCAAGTAGTGGCTGAAAGTATTGGAATTTGCTTTGGTCTATGAAAGCGTCAAAGCGGTGTCTTGTATCAAATCTTTTATCTGAATTTTATTTTTTATTTTTTTTTTAAGTAAAAAATCCAGTAACAAAAACGGGATCAGCATAAATTGACAAAAAGTAGCAGCATAATTCACCCTTTGAGCTCAAAGAGCCTAGAAAATTTGGAATTAACATATTGTGTGTGAAAACACGTTCCCCGAGCTTTAAATTTTAAGATGACCTTAATGGATGATACAATTTATTACTCGGTTTAACTAATCCAAGTTTCACTCGTCTAATGTATTCGAGCAGAATAATTCTTAGTGCTTACACTCGTTGGACATCACATAGTAAAGTAGGCCATTAAAGATTGTGTGGAGAGAGTAACTGTCTTTCAAGTTTTACTATTAATCCTTGCTGCATCACTATATTTATGAATTTGAAATGATAAGGTTGTTAGTGAAGTTTCTTAAACAGATATTATGCTGCTTGGATTTCCATCACAATTTTGTCTGTGGGACTATCTAAATGTTGATTAGCTGGAATAGTGTTGATCTACTTCCTCTCAAAGCATAAAAAGGGGCAAACTAATTTATTTAAATTTATTGTTCAACAAGAAGCAATTAATTAAAAAAATCTTCTTTCCCTTTAGGGCTTTGTAGGGCCAGTCAAGTGGCTGAATTGTTCCGAACCGTGTCTCCGGAGATTGTTGTTCGAGAAGCCAGGTTAGAGGACTGCTTGGAAGTGGCTGAGACTCACTGCAGTTCCTTCTTTCCCGAATATTCTTTTCCTCTAGATTTTGTGCTGAGAATTGACAGGCTTATTGGAATGCTATTTGGATTCTCAATACCAAATGGCTGCAAGAGAACTTGCCTGGTTGCTGTAATTGGAAGCTCGGATGAAGATGCATTCATTTTAGGGAGTGAAAATTTGAAAATTGGGGGGTTTGATGGGAAATTTAGTCTAAATAAAGGGTACGTAGCTGGGATATTGACTGTGGATACTGTTGCTGATTTTCTTCCCAGAAAAGGACCAATGCGGCAGAGAAGGTAAGTTAGATATAGCTGCATTGGTGATCATCCTGCATGTGCAAGATTTATCTGACTTATTTAAGGTTTTAGTTTTATCGGCTATATCAGATAAAAAATTATCCATTTTCCAGTCTAATAAAGTCGGCCAAACACACCCTTAATATATTACCAACTTTTTTGGTGATATATTTTAATTTACTCTTTTTCTATGGTAAATGGCATTTTTCTTTTAATTCTTGAGTCTCCTAACGTCAAGTGGCATCCAAATATAGGAGCATCTCCAAGATACTCTATTATAAATAACATCTTATATATATAATAGAAAGCATATTTAATTTAGATAGTAAAATTTTTCAGATACTCAAACCATGCTCTCTATTTTTTCTTTTCATTTTGCCTTCTTGATTTCTTTTCATATTATATTTAACATATTTTTTTTATATGTCAATGTCCAATCAATTCAGATGTGATTTGAATAATTTAAGGAGTAGGTTTGGAGAGCCAAACCACTCTTAATTTTAAAAGGTTAAAATCGTCTAAGCATTCTCTCTAAAAATAGAGAGTATTTTGTATTTAGAAAGTGTCTTGGAGATGCTCTTATAGGTTAAGCCAGTTCAAGTCCCTTAAGGCCACTGAGATGAGTATCCCTGCTGTAAATTTCATGGTCTCGTGAGATTAGTCGACGTGTGCGTAAACTGATCCGGACACCCACGGTTATTAAATGTTTAGGAGATTTCACGGGCAATGAATCTATGTTACTTCAAGTTTACAAGGTTATTGTTCAGACCTCAACCTTGTTTCCTAATTTGCAGCATTGTAGATTATATATGTATAGGGAGCACATAGTGGAAGTACTTTTTCAATGCAGGAGAGACCAACTTATTGATACTAATGTTTGGCAAAATAGTTGCTTTCTTACAAGTTAGGAAGCCTACAAATTGTGAGGACCAAAATTCACGCAATCATAGATCTGACAGCTTATAAGAAAAATAAGTTAGGGATTTCGCACAAGCAATTTTTGGATTCCCCGCTTAGAAGAAAGATATTTTTTTATGCCAAACATGCTTGTTGTAGCAATGATAAAGAACGTGTTTCTTTAATCTGTGCTTGATTTTTATATCATTATCAACCTGTTCATGTCCACGTCCATCTTAGTTTTTAATTTAGTTCAAGAAATATTATCTGGCATCTCACTTGGAATATGTTTATTTCCCAAATGGCGTGTGGACAGGACGGGAATTGCATATATATCAAATGTTGCTGTCCGAGAAAGATACCGTAGGAAGGGAATAGCTAAGAGACTCATAGCGAAAGCAGAGACAAAAGCCCGAAGCTGGGGATGCCGTGCTATTGCATTACACTGTGACCTTAACAACCCAGGAGCCACCAAGTTGTACAAAGGTCAAGGCTTCAAAAGCATTAAAGTGCCGGAAGGCACAAACTGGCCTCAACCAAAAACTTCGCCTGACATCCAGTTCGGCTTCATGATGAAGCTGCTGAATTCCTAAGCCGGTTCTCAGTTTATTTAGGTAAATATTATTCGGTCATAGACTTTTAAAAGCACAAAAGTAGGTAAAAATATACCTCTAGGTAAGTACATTTGATGAGGTACAGAATGTGGATTGTAATTATGTTGTCTGTGATGCTAGTCTATGGAATTATATTCTGTTGTTAAGTATTGAGCTACATAATTTTCTACCCCACGTTATATAATGTTACATATGATTATTATTCACTTCTTTTTGTGATTTATTGAATTTCGTAGGATCTACATTCGATTACTCAAGACCAAAGACTTCTTGTTCAGCGTGTTTGGCCAGACAGAAAGATCTCCATACATGGCTGAACATGTTAATTTTAGTTCAACTCAGTAGCAAAACATTAAAGGCCAATTGAACCAACAAGAACACATTTAAAACATAATAAGATATAAAAGATAAATTTCTAGAAAAAGATGTTTATGAACCATAGAGATTGGACAAGAGAGAAGTTCAAAAACATTCATTTTTCATCCTTGTTATTGTCTAGCCTGCACAACAAAAATGCCATAAATATGTTCCAGTGCTTCCAAAGGAAACCCCACAACTTTCAGCTATTAGAGATAGTACTTCCAGCCTTTGATTATTACACGGATCATGAATTTTATTCTAACATGATATTCACCATCTTTGCTCTTTGTACGGTCAGATAATATAACAAATAAACCAAAAACCTACAGCAGTTAACTTCGAACAAAATGTGCCAGTCGGGAATAGAGCTGTAAGAAAAGAATTCGAAATAACCCCTCTTCACTATACTTTGACAAATTTGTCAAGTGCAGAAGTATCGAGAGCCGGAAACTCTTTAACAGCAGAGAGCACAGAAAGTCCAAGTTTCACAGCATCGTCATTGCTTGGTGCCTGCAATATCATAGCTTTCAAGGTCAGCTGTCACGTATTTAAAGAATCACTACTCTTCGTGAAATTGCAAATCAATAGTCACCTCAATATTTAGGGGCAAAACAGGGTCGTGAAGTGAGAGCCTCAAAAGAAACCATCCACCATAACCAGAAACCCGTACCTGTTCATAAAGAAAATTCAAACAATCCAGAGTTCATCACATTAAACAATGAATCTAAATATAACTAGCAACGGAATATTACAACATTATAGTCCCATTGTGCTCCACAAAGTATCAATCTAAAAATACAACAAATGAAATTCCAAACCAAGCTTTTTGATCTGCCAAATGTACAAACTTACGCCTTCATAGTTAACTGGGGCTTTCTGAAGCTTCGGATCTGAACTGGTGATATTCCCTAAATGTTGTAGCAATGCCTCTCCATAATCACGGAAAGATCTGAAAGCATTAACAAGATCAGTTTTTACTGAATCACCAGTTACACTAGTTTACGCAGCAAGGTATATAGTAGCTTACCCCCCTTTTAGATCAGCATGATTCAGATCAATTTTCAGTCTAAGTTCAACGGCAACGCCAGGTTCCTCTAGACCATCTACCAAGTCAGTCAGAACCTTGCTGCCAACCCCCATTCCAGAAGCTTTAGCTGCAGCGAGTTTATTTAAAAGCTTGACCTACAAATCAAATAGAAATTGGGGAAGAAAATAAATATAAATAAAAATTTAATTGCAGCCTTCACTATAATTGGATATAAATGTAGTGTTGTGTGGAAATGAAACAACCATCTCTAACATCTTAAAACTTTTAGATCAAATAGTTCAATATGGTATCAGAGCAAGTAAAGTCTTGGGTTCAAGTCTCTCTGTAATCCATTTGATGAAATTGTGCACATGTCAAGCTTTAATGGAAAAAATGAACCATGTCTACACCTGAGGTGATGTGTTGAAGATGATATTTAAATGTTGCATGTAATCATCTCTAACAGCTTTAAGATTTTAGATCAAGTAACTTACCAAAAATGAAATAGAAAAACTAGCAGTCTTGGAAGGTGATCAACTTATAATGACTGAAACCTACCATGAGATATGCACCATCATCCAGCCAATGATTCTCCTTGAGAGCTCCATGCCCACTTGTTTCAATAGCCAAATGTGACTCCTCTCCAACTGAGTTCTATAATATTTTACCAAGTGAACAAGTCAGTTTCTCATGCTAAAGCTCGAAATAATCATTAGAATGTGAAACATATTGGAAAAAGTCTAGACAATGGGATATGGCAAAACTCCAATTAAAACCATGGCTAGGAATCAGATGCACATAATAACATGCCTGGATTATATGAAGTGAAGTTTCTAGAAGCAGGAAATAAGAAATTCATTATATTCTCAGTCTAGTGACGTGTGTGTGTGTGTGTACGCGCGCGTGTATGAACACTACCATGACAAAAGCAATGAAATTAATACACCACCCAATCCCATGAAAATGAAAAGAACAACACGAGTTTGGAAATGAGAGCACCTTCCTTTAGAACACAAGAAATTGCCTCATGTCTGACAAATTATTACTAGACCCTAGCATTCAACCACAAAGTTCTATAGTTGGCTATCACAGACATTAAACTAAAGACTATTATGAATGTAATAAGATAATATATATTGTGCCTATATTCGCTTGTCTCCATGTTACTTTGCTGGAAAAAAAAGGGCCTCCTATGGGCCCTTTTTGACACTTCTAACAGCATGCTCAGTGG